TAAATAATAATGATAGCAATAATAACAGCAGTAGTATTATAACTAAGGCTGATAGAAGACTTCAGCTTACTTTTTCTTTTAACAGAAATACAATGTCTTGGAATGCTGTGGAGATTTAGGCACCCCATTTCTAAAGACCCAAAAGTTTGTCCAAAATATGAAGATATGAACAAGAAACACAATCACTTAGGATTGGATTAGGTTTTTTCTAACTGTTTTCACTCACTATCTCTAATTTACTCAATGCTGAATTCTTCACAATACTTTGTCTGTATTTACCCTACATGTAAACTTTACATGTGAAACTGCTTAAAAAATATATCCTCTCCACTCTGCTCCTTTAAACAGCATGCCTAATTACTTTCAGTTCCCCCCACATCATTCTAAACCCCTTCTGCTGTTTTAGATACTCTTGTATCTCAAACTGAAAGAACAAATCCTCTCAAAAAAGCAAGTTTTTTATATTTTAAAGGTAATCATTATCTCCTGCAATTACCTCAGCCATAAGGAAGTAGATTTGAAGTCAGTGGATGTTTCACTACTTTGAAGATCAGGTACCTGACTTGGGCACACCGCTAACAAAGGTGATAATTAGCTTTATTCCAGGAGCTGAAGCATTCCTCTGAGTCACAGCTCCACCTTGCATTCTTCCTTATTGCTAAATGATGCTAGTTTAGAGCTGCAGTAACTCAAATACTTCAGGTCACAGAATGTGGCTAACCACTTCTTTGTGAACACTGTTTCGGGAAGGGAGGCAGGCAGGGATGGAGGAATAAGTTAGCAACCTTTTTTACTTTAGTTGTGCAAGTGAAATTAACTCAGAGAACCTGAATAGAGATGTAGTGTGGGCTTATTCTACATATTTGTAGGCAGAGTGACAGCCTAATCCTTCATTTTGTTACTTTTCTGTTTTCCAATGAGTAGCTATTTAGCCTAGCAATGCTATTTTACAGATGCCATTTTAAAAATTGAGTTATGTTGCTAAAATCCTCACTGCATGTGCCTGTGCATGGAAACAACACTACATCTCATGTCTGGCTTTGTTACCTGAGGGTGATCTGACGTAGCAGGGTTGAATGTCCTATTCCCTGAAGTTTCCTATTTGCCTTTGATGGGAGACTGTCTGGTTAGTTTGACACTTCTAATGTGGGTCAGTAACTGTCAGTACTGGATATTATCAAACCGTTTGTAGCTGAGATTAAATTAATGCCCAAAAAAAGCAATCTCTGGTCTTCTAATTAATCCCACAGGAGTGCAAAAACTCATTTAAGTTAGGAGTTTAGCTGTTGGCAGCATCAGGAAAAGCTGGTTTCACTTCACTGAGCTGAATTAAAACTCCACATTAATGGAATTAAAGCATGTTGCCTTCCTAAACTCTTACATCCATCAAATCAAAGGCTTAAAAGCTTTATAAACAACTGCAGTGCTACCTTCAATCCTTGACATAAGAAACAACATGCTGAGAACACATCATAAAAACAAACAGTATTAGCATTCCCTTCCGTGGTCTCCAGTGGAATTTTTTAATATTACATTTATCACTCTTTTTTGTTTTAGTATTGTGAATGACAAATAACTTAGAGCTCTAGTATGGGTTTGGTTCTGTTGTTTGTTTTGGACTTTTTTTTTTTTTCCTGCAGAGAGCATATTGATAGACAAATGGAGTTTGCATATTTTTCTTCTGGGTGGCAGTTTCAGAATTGGGAGCTGAAGAATGGCTGCTCCAAAGCCAGTGTTCAGAGAGGTCTCTGCCCAGCCTGTGCCACGGATGCTTCGCTGCATCTTTATGAGAAGTTGCAGGTCAATGGACTTAAGAAGCAAATAACTTCAATGCTGTCAGTTTTGACTTCTCAGAATAAAGATACATGAAAACAAAAGAGTTCCTAAATCAGGGCTATAGCAAATAGAGGACAGCTGTTCTTTGTTGATAGAAGTTGAGGGTTGAGAGAGGAAAGCTAATGACTTTTCTAGTGCTCTCGTTGCAAAGACAATGTGTCTTGGTTTTATCTAAACGAAAGAGAAGAGGAAAAATTTAGGATTGCAACAATCTTCTTATTTCTTCTACTGGCAATAGGCAGGCTTTGGGATGAACTGATTTGAGCATCGTGCAGTCATCCCTGTCAGACCTTGTAGTTTTTCCATATTTTTGCATTATGGAAGTTTAAAACACAATAAATAGTTCCCTAACATGATTGTTTCATCCAGACAGGTGTTTCACTGGCGTATTGTGTATCAGTGGAGGTATCATTTGGGAAGGAAAACGTGGTGGTTCATCTGATCCCTGTGGGGAAAAAAGGGTTTATGATGCTGCCTCCAGATTCAGCATCACCCACACAGCAAAAGTGCCTTCAGAGCTTTCTTGACCTAGAAGAGAGTTAAAGCTAAGGAGACTGGCTACTCACTTTTTTGTTTCTGTAATACTTACTGATAAGATTATTTTCATTATAAACATTTAAAAAAATACGTGAACACCAAGCTGCTCTATTTTTATTACTTAATGAAGCCATGAAATGGTTCACCTTGCCTGAGAAATAAGTTTAAAACAGAAAGCAATTTAAACCCATTAAAAAGAGATGTTGGATTCTTTGCTCCCAGTTTTGCACCTTATTATTAATTTACAATCTCATTCGTTGTTCCTTCACTCTTATGAATTGTCTTACAAGAACAGTATATTCCCCTTGTCTCAGTGAACTAAAATAAAATGGATTTAAGTTAAAATTGGTCTTTTACAGGATGTAAAATTCTTTTCTTCAGGGAAAATCTGTCTTGTGCGGCTGTAGTACTGGGTAGTATATTGAAATATTGTTACTTTATATTATTAAAACTAGTAGGAGGTTCATTCTGTATAATTTCAGAGAAATGGTAGAATTTTTGTAAGCCTAAATGTCAAACTCCGAATACTTTGATCTGTCAGTTTAAAACCATGCTGCTTACATATCTCAGTAGGGATACGTTTAGGCATTCATCACAGAAAGTGTTGGAAGCGGAAAGCTTTATTTCTTCTGTGCTGCAAAAGACATGGCAACTGCACAAATGTATGTGATGAAATCAGCTTCTTTCTGCTGGTTCCATCAGTTTGATAGAATTCACCAGGAGATTATCTTTTCAATAAGTCAGTTAGGAATCATATCAGACTATTATTCTGTCTCCAATAGCAACTTGTGTCGAGCAATGACTAAATTGCATTTTAGACTTTAAGGTGTCATTATATTGACAATGATACCTTAGAAGGCACAAGCTTATATCAAGCATCAAACTTGATTTTTATAATTATGTAAAAGAAAATGAGTTTTCATATCACCAGTTCTGAAGTATTTTTATGAAAGAAGGTGAGGGCTCATTTGAATACTGTGTCATAAATCCCTAGGAATGGAAAAGGTTTCTAATAGATGGAATATTGCAGATAGATGAGCCCCTCACTTGGCAGCAGTGGGGTGTAAAGTTCCTTGTACATGCAAACTTAACGTGAAATTTTAACCAATATTCATATAATATTCTGCAGTGTTTGTCCCACTCAGATATTCTGTTCGTACTATGATCCCAGAAACTTATGATACTTCTAAGTTTGCTATAAAACTGATAAAAGGCTCTGCAACTCTTCTTAGAAGGGGAAATACTTTTCCACAAACCTTCTGAAGCCTTCTCAATAGGGATGAATACTTAACTAACATAAAACTAGCATAATTCATAATTGTCACAACAGAAGATACCAAGAAGCAGTAGGACTTTTGTCCAGTGATAGGCATCACAACTCCATGAGCTACACAAAAAAAAAAAAAAAAAAAAAAAAAAAAAAAAAAAAAAAAAAAAAAAAGGCAACTTTTGTGTCAGACAGTATTTACTATGCTCTATGCTGCAGGATGAAATTCATGTAAAATTGATGTGTTGCTCACTAATGTCAAATGAAGTGCTTTTATTGAAAATAAGATGTGTTGCTTCTGAAGAAGCAGCTTGAGATATTTGCAAAGCTTGAAAGCAAGACAAAGTCTTCAGTTATTAGAATCAATGATATAAAACTGACATAAAGATTTATTTTTATTGTGTACTTTGCATTATTAATACTGGGCCTCACTATGTACTGTAGTCATTTAAACTAATCAGAAAATACACCCAGATGCTTCTGCTTTTTAATATCTTATTTAAACAGGATGTCTTGGATAAGGAGTACAATTTATTATCAGAAAACTGCCTGTGACTGATGCTCTGTTTCATCCATTTGTATTTACAATACTCTTCTACCATACTATAATACTGAAATTAGCACATACTGTGTATTTTTAACATAATTATTGCAATTCAGGTTTCTTAGTCATATCAGTATAACATATGAAAGCTCACGTTTCTTAGTCATGTCAGTATAACACATTAGACCTCAAAATCAATAAAATTTTTTTTTTTTTTTCAGAGAGTCTGTGTTTTGCAAAAGAAAAAATACCATGTTTTTTCCCAAATGTTGTGTCCTAGATTAATAAAAATCCATGTGGAAAGACTCAAGCTGCTTAAAATCTGATAGAACTAGTGTTGAAGTTACGCCAAGGTGCAATTCTAAGGTTGCATGTCCTCCTTTACTGACAAGCACTGAGAATTAGATTGATTACATTATCATTTGGTGTTTTACCTTTTGCTCTGAAATTAAATTTGCATTGTATGTTTAGTATATTTAGTGAAATAGTTAGCATTTAAGTTATTTTAAAGTACTAAACTCTTTGTGTGAATCTATATGTATTTTAAAAATGAGTAGGAAAGATAAGGGGGAGTTATTATCTTCATTTTCTGCTCTTAATGAGAAATGAAAGCTGAATTTAAACAAGAGAGATCGTTCAATTAAGCCCTTTTTGAACAGATGAGCACCACTGAAGTCATAATGCTTTAGACACGTGTAAAACAATCTGGTGGTTGTATCTATTTTGCCATTAGCTAAGATGCTAGAGACAATATGAGCAAGAGAAACTTCTATTTCTTTAACAAATGCTTTTCTTTATTCTTCCTTGGCCGTACAGTCATTCCCAGCACAGCACTGCAACACGTCCACCCACAGTGAGCTTGCAGCGGACCATTTCTGTGGAAGGGTAAGATCATTCTCTGTTGAAGCTGCTGTAGAGGTGTCAGGTACCACTGAGCTACCCACACACACAGAGCTCTTCAGTAGGTGTGGGTTTGCACAGCACAGTGTTTCAGTCTGTGAGATGAAGCAATGAAGTTTCAAATTCGTGGTGATCCTTTCTTGGTACTTACACTGAGAGGTTTGGTTTTCATGGAGATAAGAATATCTGTCATGGAGATATATTGAATGCCATTTCTTCAATTCATCTCACTTGAGTAGTGTTAATATTTACTTGTGTTAGCTGTAAAATCTTCCCACTTATCATGGAAAAGCCCAGTGAAGTCCTTACTCTGTTTTCTTAATGTATGCATGAGTTCTTTTTGACAAACCAGTGTCCAAAACTAAGGGTGAAGAAGTGCTGATAGAAAATATTAGCCCTGTGCTGGTGGATATCTGTGTACAGGAGTGTGTTATCTGTAGCACACAGCTCTGGGTGCACAGCTGCCTCAATTTTAATTAAGACAATGGTGTAAAATGTGAATAATTCACAACTACGACAATATTCTTGCATCTTTACAGTATTAGAAAGGCTGCTATTTAACACAGGAACACAGATTTTGTTGGCACTGATTGGCATGGTCTAAAAAAATGTCAATTCTTTTTTATTCCCTCCCATATAAATGTGGAACTCTGTAGGCATGGGTAATAACCTATCATTGGCTGCTCTTAGTTCATATTTCAAAGCTTTTCTTCCTCGTGATAAAAGGGAGACTATAAAGTTTCCACAGAGGAAAGATGTCATGTTATTGTCTTTTAGTTTCTATTACAATTTACTGTGGTGCAGTCAGAAAATAAATTGGTCACTGTGTAAAATAATCTTGTCCTAAGTGAAGTCTGAAATAGTTTTCTCAAAAGTCCAAATTTTCCATTTCTTATCTAGATCTATGATTTTAAAATATAATTATTTAAAATATGTAAAACAGCTATGGTAATTATTCATTGAAACTTAGATTGAATAATGGAATTATGCAGGAAAAGTGCATGTGGCTCAAGGGTTGTCATCTGGAAGATAGTTCTATAAATAAAGCCTTAATCATCATCCAGCCATTATGCTCAAAACAGGACCAATTTTAAGGTAGATCAGGTTGTTCAGGGTCTCGTCCAGTGAAGCTGTGAGTATCAAAAACCTGGAGATTTCTCAAGCCCTGGACTAGCAGTCTCAGTGCTTAAACACTCTCCTTCTAGATTTCTTTATCTCTCTAATTCAAAGAGTCATAGTAAATTTCCCTGATTCTTCTTCAAATCATCTCATGAATAAATTGATGTTTGAAATAAAACTGAGCTTCAAGAACAATTTGGTGGTAAAAAAGGAGGGGGAGAAAAAAATAATTTGCTCGGTTGAGATTTAAGGAAGGAAATTTTATTATGGTGTCTCTGGCTTGGTCTACAGGACCAATTCAGGAATCATCCTGTAGCTTTAAACTCCTACTTAAATCTGGAAACCAATCTTTTTAAATGAATTTTTAGATAAATTGCAGAATGTGTACTAGCCACACTGACAACTTGCATATATTGTGTGTGAATCATTACAGTACAGAAAATCTGCAATTGATGCTGCAGGTCTCCTGTTGTTCAGGAGGTAGAAGAGCATCAGCTTGTAATTATTACCAATCAACTTACACTGCATCATATTTCATTTCACATAGGAAAGTGGGACTGGTAGCCTATTCCACTGCTGAGCAGAAATGAGTAATCAGCCGAACCCTAAATATTTCATTATGTTAAAGCTCAATTTATTCTAATGTTTTTGTGGAGTCCATGCTGCTATGTTTACAGCTAATAGAATTTGAGGTCAAAACAAATTTATTTTTCTCCTTTAGCAACTGTGTTCCGATCAGTAAAATCCTATATTTAGGAGAATCACTATATTGGTTTTGAGATGCACTTTTTAAACAGCTGCTTTACCTGCAAGGCATCACTGGCACATGCTGACATTTTTACCCTGCATGCTGGCTCTCTCTGACTCACTGTGGAGTCACTGAAGTGATATAATTATTGGGTCCTATGAATGAAAAATTAAATTTGGGAGGGTTAAAGAAATACAGAGGGAATTGCATTTGCTGGCATTTAGTCCTTTCTACCCTGCTGAATATGTGATAATAGAGCTGGCCAGAATAGATTTTTAAAGAATTTGAATAGCTTTTTTTTTCAACAAAGTGGTAGATGAACATGTAAAACCATTTCATTTTTTATTAGAGAGGACTTTTATGGACTTCATGTCCAGCAACAAAATTAATGGCCAGGTGGGAAAAATAAAGACATCTTTAAAGATCTTTTTTCCAATATATTCAAACCATATATTCTTCACAGTGTAATAACTATACATGAGTTGTACAGATTTATTCTGTGTGTAAAGGCATGAACTTCAGAGGTGCTGGAGGTCATCATTAGCAACTTCCCTAATGTTTTATTTTCATGGTTTAAAAACCAAGAAAACTCTAATGTTTGAATTTGAAAATATTGTCATTTTGAGCTTTTTGAAGTGATTTTAAGGAACAATCTTAGCTGTGACTATCCAAAATAGAAAAAATATTGGTTGAAAACAGCCCTTGGTTTTGTTTTTTTTTTTTTAAATCCTGCCATACTAGCACACAAAGCTTTAATGTTAGTAATGTTTGACAGCTATTCTCTCTGCTTTTGGCATCCCCACTAAATTGAATTCTGTATGCTACCAGCCAACTCTTAGAAATTGGGATTTCAACCTATTTGATTGAGTCTTTTTGACTTAGAAATGTGTCTAAGCATCTGAAATATATTTAAAAATATTTATACATAAATAAACAGCATTTGAACTATGACTAAGGATAAGAATTTTTATTCTGAATGGGACAGATATTACAGAATGGTTTTTGTTTCATAAGTGTCTTCTATAAAGTAATTTGAGATGCTTGCTGCTAGCAGCCTGTGTATTGATATTTCCAAACATGGCTTAGAGGCACTGCTATTTTTAGGTGTTCTCTGGGCATTTGAATACTTCCTGTCTCCTGGTAATGCAATTCTATTGCCTCTTACCAGTTCCATCTCATCCAGCTTTGTTTACAAACTGTAAAGCTGGACCATTCATGGTAAATAGAGCTATTGAATGCTGTAAGTAATAGTTTTTACAACAGTGTTTCAATATGGAGCCAATAGTTTTTAAAAGCAAGATGCAAAGCAAACCTTTCTAGTATGGAGTTGTCTGTGCTGGGTGTAGCAGGTGGTACAGAGATGCAGTTTTCAGGATTTATTTTGATTGTTAGTATGTAAATAATATACTTTCTGAAACAGGGAAGAGAGGTAAGTGATTATGTGAGACAAAGGATAAATGAACAAGCAAACAGGAATAATCATATTCCTTATAGAGCTAAAGAGTATATTAACTGTCCTACATTATCTCTCTAAAAATCAATGAGATTTCTCAAACCCAGGAGGCAGACCACTGTGCATTTGAAGTAAATGTCAGATGTCATGGTAAAAATGCAGTCCAGTTTTTAAAATCAAAAAGATTATTCCTGTATGCCAATTCCATTTTGCTATCTGCGAGCAGAAAACTTGTCCTGGTGTGCAGGCTTTAATTTCTCTACAAAAGATAAAATGAAAGATTGCTAGAGTCCAGAGGTCTTCCTACAGAACAAAATCTGTTGCAAAATATAACCCAGTGCAATCACACATGCATCAGTCAGGCTGAAGCCTGGCTCCCAGTAGGTTCCCTTGTATTAAGTGTACATAAAAGTTAGTGACAATTTAGGCATGATGTTTGCAGAATAAATGCATTGAAATTGTAGTAATTTTTAAAATTAAAATAAACCATTGCTTTTACATGTTCAATGAAAAAGAAATTCAAGAAATCCATATGTCATAGTCAAGACAAAATACTTGTTTCAAGCAGATGGGGCAACTTTATTAGTCAAAGTGATATTTTGCTGTGTAATCTGATAAATGTTCATCTTATTAAAGGCTGAATGCTTAGTTGTTAGTATACCAATATTTGGTCAAATGAAATAAGTCACTAATCAATTAGAAGGCCAAAACATTTTTTCAGTTTATGCAGGCAAAGTTGCCCCTCTGGACTGTGATGGTCAGTTTGAAAGCAGTAGATAAGAGGAAGGCTTCCTTATTTTTATTATTTTCAATATTAATTGGAAGTAGGATAACACTAATTAAAGTCACTATCAGGGATGAGACCTCACAGGGTCAGGTGTAACACTGGTGTGTGCAGGTGCCGTGCTGTGGTGAAGGGCTGGGAGCTGAGAAAGGAAGGTCTGTCGCTCCCTACCACTGCCAGGTCCTGGTGCTTTGGTCACTGCAATGAAGGCACATGAGAGGGTTGGCCAAGGAGGAAAAGCAAAGGGTGGAGCTGTTTCACATCATAATGGAAACATTTTGCCAAGCCTAAGAGGGAATAACAAAGGGGAAAGTAAAAGCCGAGGTGCAGTAGAAGTGGTATTACAATAAAACAATAGATGAGAGCAGTACAGACAGATTTATCATTTGTGTGAAATGAGAGTTGTAGAATTAGGAAGTTGTAGAATTAGGAAAGAAAATCTGTAAGAAAATAAAGCTTGGTTCAACCAAAACTCAAAGCCTTTTAAAAAGGTGTGTGTGAATATTTCAGGCCTTCAACCACTTAGAATTTCATATCATCCCTTGTTTGAGTAATCAGATTTTGAACCATCTCATACCCTGGCACATACTCTGTCCCTCCAATCTCCTTGTGTTCAGTGCTGTGAAGAATGAACAATCTATTTGAACCCCCTTTTTTTAGGTTCTTCCAGTATGAATGTCCTTTGATTACCAGAAATAAATACACAGGTATTTATTAGAATTTTTTGAAGTGTGAGAGGAAAACTAGAATTATTGTTGTGAAAAAGAAATGGCTTGACTAGCCAAATTACTGTAAGGTAACTCAGTGCTCACATTGTGGATTGTCAGAAGCCAAACATATTTATACTGCTTAGGAGAAGGGGCCTTGATGCCTGAGATTTG